ATGCTAAATGCTATTTTATCAGAGTAGAATTAGATTCTCAATTTCTACCAGAACTTGGTCTCGCATGAAACGTGCTTTCACAGTGTTTTTCCCATAATTTATTTTACAAGTGGCACTTCCTGAAGTAGACCAGTGCTACAGCTCTGCAAAGTGCTTTGTGAAGGACCTCCTGCCCTGTGTCAAACAGCAGCTCAAAAGATATTTATATTTTGGCTTGAAGGAGACCTTTCAGAGCCTGGCTGGTGCAGCAGCTGCCTTACCTTCAGGGTGCAGGTGGAAAAGCCTGCAGTTCACTGTTCTTCTGCATCATTCCTGGGAATGAGCAGCAGCTTCCACTGCAAACCCAGCGAGTCACCCGCCCAAGGCAAAGGTTGGACCATCAGTCTGGAGGGTTTTATCCATGCCCAGGGATCTCTTCAGGCATTCCTTGAGTGGGTGACCTCCTGCTTGTGGATGGAGCCTTGGGTTGTGGCCTTCACCCTTGTGTGGCACTAACTAAGGTGTTTCCCCATTTCTCACTATGTGTCTTTCCTTCTCACACCAGTCCTGATTTCTGACCAAATCTAAAGAATAACAAACATGGGAGCCCGCTATGGGAGCCCAGACTTAAAAACCACAGGCACTGAGGTCCATAAATCACCATCCTGGGTACCAGCCTGTCCATCCTTGATCCCAAGGGATGGCTGTTTCCTCCTAGATCCTTCTGAGGTGCTGATGGACAAGTCTTGACCTCCACTCCTGGGATGGTCCTGTGAACTCACACTGACTTCAGGTGCTCCCCAGCTGAAGAGTGATGGGAATCAGGCTTCCATCCCTCCTCCTACTCTTACCTACATTCTCCTGGATCAGAAAGCAGGTGACTATCTATCTATAGGGGGTTCTGGTTCCCTGACCACCTGGAATAGGTGTCCTACTGCAAGGACAAACAAAAAATTTAACAGGATTTTCCATCAGCAGAAGAGCCAGTGAAGCCTCTATAGAGCCACAGAATTGTTAAAGTTGAAGAAGTTCTCAGAGATTGTTGAGTAAAAAATCCAGACTAGGATATATCCCACTTTTCTGCAAATACCTGCAGTGCAGACACCCTCAGCTCATTAGTTGAGCCTGGATGTTTTTGGAGTCATAGAATCACCACGGAATGGTTTGGTTTGGAAGGGACCAGCATCTATCTGGTTGCTCCAAATCCCACTATCCCAGGTTGCTCCAAATCCCACTATCCCAGGTTGCTCCAGCCTGGCCTTGGACACTTCCAGAGATCCAGGGACAGCCACAGCTTCTCTGGGCACCCTGTGCCAGGACCTCACCATCCTCACAGCCAGGAATTTCTTCCCAATCTCCCATCCAACCCTGCCCTCTGTTCAGTTTAAAACCACTGCCCCTTGTCCTATCACTTTCTGCCCACATAAGAAGTTGCTCTGCCTCCTTTTATGAGCCTCCTTTAGGCACTGAGCTCTCCCTGGAGCCTTCTCCTCTCCATGTGAGCACTCCCAGCTCTCCCATCCTGGCTCCAGAGCAGAGCCCCAGCCCCTGGAGCATCTCCATGGCTTGGCACAACCAAAGGGAGATGAACTCTGTGCTACAAACCAGCCTTAAACTCCTGGCCCCACATCTCTGAGAAGTCTCCAGCTAAATTCTCTTGGCAGGTGTTTGCTCAGGGAGCAGGAGCCCTGCCACAAACCCCAGAAGCAGCTCCCAGGAGCCCAGGAGAGCTCCACTGCTCTCCACACTCGGCAAAGACAGGACCCAAACACAAACTACAAACCAGGATTTCATCTTGGCTTGAACAACCTGCTGCTAAAGATCCTCATCAGCCACAGGAGCTGTTAATTGTATTTAAACTGCTGGTGATAACGTCCCGTGGTCAGGGACTGTGATCACACATCCAGGAGGGAGTTAAATCACTCAGCTGATGAATAGACTGTGGTGGTACTGGGGAGTTTGAGCTGATTTAAAGAAAAATCATTGTAGATTATTTGAGCATGGAGAAATGGCTGACAGCGTTTGGCACACACATAATTTGAAAATTTTGATTATTTCAGTTTTTCAGCACCACTGTGAGGAATATTACCCCTGTGTAACAAATGTGGGAGCTACTCTGCAGAGTGGCAGGGATGTGTACAGACTCAGAGACACCGAGTACAGAAGTTTCCGAGTGCTGAAGGACTTTAAAGTGGAGCTGAGAGTCTTTTGTCACTTGAAAAATTTAATTTTACTAAAAAGTTTAATCAGACCTCAGTGAACAGTGTGACTCAATGATGACTTCCTGCAAATTCATGTCAAAGAGAGAAAAAAACAAGTCAAAACATTTGGATATTTTCAGAAGAAAAGCGATCACTTGTTCATTTCACTGATGCAATTTGAAGGCTCAATTTGAAATGTCTCTGAATTGTAATAAATTCCAATTTACTCTGAACTTGAAATAATACATTGCTCTTCAATTGAAAGTTATTTTGTTTTTCATGGGAGTTTTACTTTCACTTAAAGTGTGTATCACTATAATTTTCTGTTGGTCCCAAATTCTTTCACCTAATTTTGTCTTATAAAATAAATAAAACCCATTCTACTTTACCACTTACAACCTTCTTTTTTAGCAGAGTTGGCCACAGCATGTTTCAGCTAGTGGATTTACAGTGAAATTTCCTGATTTTTGCAAGTTTCAGACCTGTCTCCTGAGCTGCAAAATCCAAGCTTAGAAGTTTCTGTTCCCTTCTTGACAGCATTGGATGATTCTCAGATTTGAATAGGAAATTGCCATTAATAAAGGGGAGGGAGGGGAAATCAGAGGCCGCATATTTTGTAGTCATAAAATAAATGAACTTCTGCCGTGTTTATATTATACATATAATATGGCAGGAAGCAAAGATCAAAGCTGTGTTTATAAAGGACTTGGCCAGTTGTGTGCTCGGAGGAAGCAAATGGGTTTGTGGGAGGCACCCCAAGAATGAAGTTTGGATTTTTAGCTGGTGAAAATCAGTGTGCCTTCTTTGACTTGTCTGATTTACATCAGCTAGTACAAAGGTTTCAAGGCAGAACAGATATGGTAAAACAAAATAAAATTGTTTTTTTCCTACTGAAAAGTATTTGCCTGAGGTTCCTTCTCTGTTTCAAAGTACTGGGAGTAACTCAGAGGAACAGGATCCTGATTTCCAGCTTCATTAGCTGGAAGGTTGTCAGGTGGTTGGATCCAAACAATCTTTAAAGCCCCTTCCATCCCAAATCATTCAGTGATTTTGTTATTTTTAAGGTGTTAGGGTGCAAATGAGGTTTGGAGCTGGTTCCTGCCCTGGTTGGCCGAGGAAGGGAACATCAGAATGGGGCTGCTCAGAGGGCTCAGCCTTCAAGGACTGGCATCTCCCTGAGCCCCACAATTCCCAAACAGTTTATTTGCAGGTTACACCACGTCCCCTCCATTCCCCCCAATACACCTGATCACTGAAAGGGAAACTGAGGCATGGCCAAATGGGATAATTCATCCCTGGTCTTGCAGGGAGAGGAGTTCAGTGCAGCCTCACTGCTCCCTGCCTGAGTTATACCATCAACTGCAACACTCCCACAGGGTGAAAATTCCTCACAGCAATGATTTCATCCCGTGGAGAGCTGAGCCAAACCCCCCCAAACACCACCCTCACCCACAGGAGACACTGAAGAGGCACCAGACAGCAGCAGGGTGAGAGCAGACAGGCACAGCCCTGATCCACCACTCCAGGGACCCCTCAGCTCCCCAGGCACCATGGATCCCAGGGGATTGTCCCACTGGAAGGTGTCCCACAGCCCTGGGCTCCAGCTGTGCCTGGGGATACAGCCCAGGGAAACAGCCCCAGTGTGGAGGGAGCTCAAAAACCTCAGCAGCTCAAAATCTGTCCTGCAGTCACGATGCTGTTCCCACTGACCTGAGAGGCAGCCCCGAGCAAGAGGATCTGAAAAACCCTGAGAAAAAAGTGCAGCAGCCCCAGCTGTGATGAATGCTCCTCTGGCTGCAGGGCTGGTGGGACACAGTCCCCCATGGGCTGTGGGACACGTGGGTCCCAGCTGGCAGATGGAATGACAGACCTCCCTGCTTTGCTGAGCTCTGTGCAAAGGCTGCTGCTGATACTCAGGAATTATTCCAACCTCGTTTTTCCCAGCTCCAGGTTCAGCTGCAGCATTCCAGAGGGTCATTCATGTCCCCTGAGCTGGGTGCCTGCTGTCAGGGTGAGGAGCACTGGTTTCCCTGCACATCCTGGGTCCCTGGTGCTGGAAGGGGACGTTCACACACATCCCTGGTGGGCTCTGTGCCTGCTCAGCCTCCCCTGCACGCAGGAGGGAGCATCCTTCTCACAACCAACTTGCCAAAACTTTAGAGCACAACACGAGGGACAGCCCTAAATGAGCACACGGGCACTACAGCAGGGCCACAGCTCCTGGGGGTGGTGGATCAGTCCTGGAAAACCACAAGGGATCTTCACCCACCGCCCTTATGGATCATACCCGGTCCTGCTCCAGGTCCCTGCACAAAAACAGCAACTCAGGAAGCCAGGATTTGTGCTTCAGGCTCTGACACACTCCTTGGAGGGATAAAACCTCCCTTATCTCCAACAGAGGTGGGAGCCCTGGACCCACAGGGGCATATCCAAGTGCAGTTCCCAAACTGGGAGAACAAGGAGATAGCAAAACTGTTTGAAACCACTGTGCCACAGAAACAGCCTGTTTGAAACAGAGCTGCTTCCTTCTTAGCCTAAACTTTGTTAGTTAAAATGCTGAAAGCAGAATGAATTAATTAAAGCAATTATTATTTATAGCTGCTATTTTATTCATTTGCTATCTACTCTGATTGATTATATGACTTTGCTTAATAAATATTGAATAAGTGTTAATTAATTGAATCAATTCATCGCTGGTTTATTCACCTATCAGTCACCTCTCCCTCATTTCTATGCATGAGTTGTGTCCTGAAAAGTTTGTCCCAAGGAGCAGGTCCCCAGGGGCTCAGCCCCAGGCTGAGATGGGATGGGGTCACTTACCAAAAGGCAGGATGAAGAAGAAGGGGAACCAGCAGAGGATGAAAACACCCACGACGATGGCGAGAGTCTTGGCTGCTTTTTTCTCCCGGGAGAACTTGAGGAGCCTCACGGAGAGGGAGCTCCTGAAGTTGTGGCCCTTGCTCCGGGCGCTGGAGAGGGGCTCCTCCAGCACGCTGCGGCAGTGGATGCGCAGCACCACCTCCATGGACTTGTTCCTCTCCTTCTTGACCCCTGCCTCCAGGCTCCGGGTGGTCCTCCTGGCCACCACGTAAATCCTGAAGTACATCACCAGGATGACCATGAGGGGCAGGTAGAAGGAGAAGAGGGAGGAGAAGAGGGCATAGCCCGGCTCCTCCGTGATGCTGCAGATGCTCTCGTCCGGCGGCGGCGGCTCCTTCCAGCCCAGCAGCGGCCCGATGGAGATGACCATGGAGGAGAGCCAGACCACCACGAGGATGACTCCTGCCTTCCTCTCGGTCATGATGGTGGGGTACTTGAGGGAGTACTTGACACCAATGTACCTGTCCACGGAGATGATGCAGAGGCTCATGATGGAGGCAGAGCAGCAGAGCACGTCCACCGCTGCCCAGATGTTGCAGAAGATGCGCCCGAACACCCAGAAGCCCAACACCTCCAGGGTGGCCGAGAAGGGCAGCACGGTGGTGCTGAGCAGCAGGTCGGCGATGGCCAGGTTGACGATGAAGTAGTTGGTGACAGTCTGCAGGTGCCGGTTGCAAGCCACCGAGAGGATGACCAGGATGTTCCCCACGATGGCCGAGAGGATGAAGACGGCCAGGAACACCCCGACTCCCACCGCCTGCACATCCAAGGCAAAAGTCAGCGTGGTGCCGTTGCCCTCGGGGGTCTCCTCCCCTTGCAGCCCCCAGGACCGGTTGGCAGCGCTCTGGCTGCCTTGTCCCGTCCGGTTCCCACTCAAGCTGCCATTGCTCAGCTCGGGGAAAGTCATTGTAGAGAAAGTCCGGGCTCCATTGAGGGCGAGGAGAAAGCGGTGCCGAGGCGCAGCTCCCCCAGCATCATCCCCGGCTGGCAGCCCCCGCCAATTCGCGCTCCGCACCTCGCTCCGCCGGCCGGGGTGGAGGAGAAAGGGATGGAGGGATGGAGCGAAAGAGAGAGAAAGGGAGGGAGGGCAGGACGCGCTGCCCGTCGCCCCCCGCCCGCTTCACGCCGTCCGCCCGCGCTGCCCCCCGTCCCCGCTGTCCCCGCTGTCCCCGGCGCTCAGCCCCGGGGGGGCAGCGCGGTCAGAGCCCCCCCGCCGCCCTGGCATGCTCCGGGGGCTGCGCTGGGCACGGCCGGCAGCGCCCGGCGGCTCCGCGGCTCCGAGCTCCGACCGGGAGCGGCGGGAGGGGCCGGACGGGCCGGGGGCGGGGGGAGCCCCGCGCGTCAGGTGCCGCCGGGGAGGAGGAGGAGGAGGAGGAGGAGGGGAGGAGGCAGCGCTGCTTTGCAGGACGAGGCGAGCCCGGGGCAGAGTGAAAGCGGCAGCAGAGTAGGAGGGGAGAGGAGAGATGATAGAGGAGGTCCAGGCGAGATGATGATGATGGAGGGGATTCAGGCGAGATGATGGAGGGGGTCCAGGAGAGATGATAATGATGGAGAGGGTCCAGGCGAGATGATGAGGGGGTTCACGCACGCTCTGGGACGAGGCAGCCCCCGGGAGGGTCTCGCAGCACTGGGGTGCAGCCCCAGGAGGAGCACTCAGAACTGGGGTTTAGCCCTCAGCAGGAGCACTCAGAATTGAGGTTTAGCACCCAGGAGGAGTCACTCAGAACTGAGGTGCAGCCCCAGCAGGATCATTCAGAATTGGGATGCAATCCCAGGAGGATCACTCAGAACTGGGGTTTAGCCCCCAGGAGGGGTCACTCAGCACTGGGATGCAGCCCCAGCAAGATCACTCAGAACTGGAGTCCAGCCCCAGGAGGATCACTCAGCACTGGGATTTAACCCCCCGCAGGATCACTCAGAACTCCGGTACAGCCCCAGCAGGATCACTCAGCACTGGGGTTTAGCCCCTAGGAGGATCACTCAGAATTGGGGCGCAGTCCCATGAGGATCACTCAGCACCGGGGTGCAGTCCCGGGGGCGCGGCGCTCCCGCCCGGCACCGCCGGAGGGCAGCAGAGCGCAGGGATTGCCCGGCGGGTCCCGGGGCTGCGGGGACCGAGCGGGGACCGCGAGGGGACAGCGAGGGGACAGAGCGGGGACAGAGCGGGGACAGCGAGGGGACAGCGCCATCCCACTGGAGACCACCCTGCGGCACCCCCGGGACTGCATCCCAGCAGGAGGGTGCCCTGCCAGGCTGGCATTCCCTCCCTTAGCCCCAGCATCCCAGCAGGAGGATGCCCTGCCAGGCTGGTATTCCCTCCCTTTGCCCCAGCATCCCAGCAGGAGGATGCCCTGCCAGTCCGATGTGCCCCTCTCCCAGAGTCCCACCACAAGGACGTCCTGTATGGCTGGCATGTCCCTGCCAGCCTCCACATCCCAGCAGGAGGATGCTGTGCACAGCTGTCCTGTTTCCCCCAGCCCCAGCACCCCACCAGAAGGATGCCTTGCCAGTTTTCCTTTGTGGTCCTGAATCCAGCATCCCTCCCATGCCAAACCCTGACCCCTCAGCCCCTCAAGCATCCTGCTGAGGGTGCAAGCATCCCCTCATGAGCTCCTTCCCAAAGCACAAGGGACAGTCAGGGTCTTGCATTTGGGGGCAGCTCTGTGCCAGGGACTGAACCCTGCAGCACAGCTTGGACACAGCAGCTTCTGACTATAACATATAGGAACATATTTCTGGCTAATTTAAACAGGACTGGGGTTTTTTTCCCACTGATAAAAGCAGATCCTGTTTACACTGGTTTCCTCCCAGTGACCTGCCTCCATACATTGGGATGGGGACTGACCCTGCTGGTGAACAGGGGCTCTCCCTCAGCTTCTTTCTACTGTACACAGGAAATATTTCCTTGGAGTGTGTTTATCCATGATTTTTCAACTTATTTTTTTCTTAAAAAATAGTTGGTTTAAAGGGCAGGCCAAGTGGACAGTTGGGATGATTTAACTGGTGCTGTCAGAGCATGGGAGATCTGGAGATTCACTGGGTATGAGAGTGGACAAAAATACTATAGCTTCTTTATTCTTTTTTTTCCCTTGATAATCATTGCAGGAAATGACACATTTTTGATTTTCCTCATTTCTCTTGACATTGATTTTCCTCGTGCACTTTTTTCTTCCTTAAGATTTCACCCAACTTCCTTGAGCTGGGTTTTTTGTCCTGCTGAGAAGAAGAAAACTTGAAAATACAAGAAAATAGAAACAAATATTACACAAGAAAAATATTCATAAGGATGGTTTTGCTTAAAATAACCCACCCAACAAACCCTTAACAGCTTTTTTTAATGTGAATTTTTTTAAAAAAAAGCCCAAACACCCAACACTTGAGGTCAAATTCATTTTCCTTATGTTTTGATGAAAACATGTCAGCCACCAAAATGAAGGATTGTTTCTTACTGGGATGCTAAACTCAGCATGGGAAGATCTCATCCATGGAATTTCATAGCCCTGTCTTTGCAGCAACACAGATTGCTGTGGAGATAAATTTATCTCATCTAATCTATCCAGTGACACCCAGAGATAAAGAAAACATGTGCCTCTCTCCAAAGTGAGGGCTTGAGTGAAGCTTCTCATGTACTGCAGGATTTTAAGCACGTAGGGAGAAAAGATGGGATGAAGATTTCGTGTCTGCCCTGATCCTGCCTGTTGGGACCCTGGATGCTGAGAATTTCAGACTTTCTGTGCTGCCAGGCACTGATCCCCAGGAGAACACTGCATTGCCCTGAGGCCATGGAGAAGGCTTCCAAAATGGAATGACAGAACTGGGATTGTGGGTGTGGAGTTTGAATGGAAGTGTGTGATATCACAGGGTGGAAAACTTAGAGTTTAAAGTAGTCATTTATGTAAAACAAGATGGAGGTTTTAGGGCAGAGTGGTCCTTCTTCTCCACCTTCTTCTTCACTTTCTTCTCCACCTTCCTCTTCACCTTCTTCTCCATGGATTTTGGTGGTATTGTGTGATTGGATAAACAAATCCCCATTGCAGGCCATGGGTAGTTGGTTATTGGGTTAAAATTAAAAATCATTCAGCTGTCATTTCTTAATTGGACAGTTTATCCTTAAAAGGCCTTGTAGAGAGAGAGATGGGGCTCCATTTTTTAGCTTGTTGGAGTGAAGTGCTGCAGAACTCAGGGTTTGTGAGACTGTGACAGAGATAAGAACCAACAAACACCTGAGTCTGAACAGGAAATACCATCTCACACATTTAATCCCAGCCCTGGCAAAAAAGAAGCAAAAGAATCCTCACCTGCCCTCCCCTGAGTGAGCTCCCCTCCTCTCTTGATGTCTCCAAACACAACTTGTTCCTGTTGCTGAGGGGTTGGAGCTGGCACGGACTGCAGGAGTGCAAGGATGGGATGGGAGAGAGGAAGGGGCAGTTTTTGGTGGGGGTAAGAGCCTGGGGGCTGCCACTTCTGCCCCAACCACACAGAAAACCCTCGAGGTTGCACTGATGCCTTTGCCCTCCCCAGCAGGGCAGGGAGAGATCACGTCCTGTGCTGTCACTGTCAGCTAAAGCACATCAGGGCTCACTGCCACCCTGTCACCTCCTCGCTTTTCATCTGTTTCTCTCCAAATCAGGGCCATTATGGTTAATTTAATTTTTTAATTTGCTCCTAACAAGGAACAGGTTTGTGCTGATGCACTTAAACCCAAATAAAAGTGTTGGGCTAGGTCTGCATGGAGGAATTTGAAGTAAACACACACAGAGGTGTGTGCGCACCTGGGATCTTCCCTCTTGACAATTTTATCCCTTTTATCCTTCTTTTTTTACCCTTTTGGGGCAGAGGTAGTGCCATTTGGTGATGTGAACAGGGCTCTTTAGATAATAAAAAGACACACACATCTGCTGAACAGTGTTTGTCATGCTGTAATTACATGTTATGCCCAAATCTTGGAAAGAAAAGGCAATTTTTTGGTTCAAAGCACCAGAGCTTAAAGGATTTTGATCAACATTTGCAAACACTCTGGGGTTTGTACCGAGGAGAATGGTACTGTGTGTGGAAAGTGTCCTTGCCCATGGCAGGGGGTTGGAAATAAATGATCTTTAAGGTCCTTTCCAACCCAAACCATGATTTTGTGACTCTACCCTTGCTCTGCAAAGGAAGATTCTCCATGGTGCATCTGCCTGCAGCATCTCCTGGATCCACAGCTGGGAGAAATGGATCCAGATCACAGCCAATGCAGATTCATAACATTCATAATATTTAAGGCAAATTAGTAATATTTAAGTGTTTGTAAAAGTGGGTTTGCCTTGCCTTGGGCAGGGCATCCAAAAATCCTCAGGAAAGCCAGGATCAATCTTCACTGCTGGTCCCTCTGAGGTCCTGTCCAGCTCTGCTGGCTCCTGTGCTGCTCACAGGTCTTCAAACAAAATAAAAATGAGCTAAAAGTGATTGCAAGGGATGGTTCAAACCTGTTCTGCTGCACATTTTGTTTCCAAACATGGGGGCTCTGGAGAAATTGGAGATCAGGACAATAACTGGGAGATGTAATGAGCAAAACCTGGACTGGGCAATTGCTGCATTAGAGCATTAGAAATATGGGGAAATTTGATTTTAATTGTGAATGAGGGGTGGGGTATGTGTGTAAATTGTCCACGTTTGTTGGTGTTGTGATGTTATTCTTTTTCAACCTAAATGATTCTAAGAAGTTATTTTGACTTTGTTAGTGTGAATTCTTCTCGTTGATATAAGTGAAGATTTTGTGATGAATGCATGTTTTGTTAATATTTTTGTATTCTTGCAATTTTATTTAAGTCTAGGAAAAATCAGGCTATGCTGTGAATGCTTGTGGCTTAATAAATGAGGCAGGAAGGAGAAGAAAATAGCTTTTGTTAACTGCATGATAAAGGTGGG